GCTGTGTCTTTGTCAGTGGGTAAGTACCCACTCGTTGATGGGTACTTAAGAATACAATGGAAAGTAATTAGGGGTGTGACACATATTTGGTTTCTGTGGGGGAAACAGGGTCGAGACGAAAGTCTCCCTCTCCCTCCCCCCAACTTGGGAGGTAGACGATGTGCCGCTTCCTCTTCTACGTCGCTTACGTCAGACTCATCGTTAGTTGCAGTTCCAATTATTCCAGCCTTTCTGAATCCCGACAGGATGGTTTCGGTTGTCACTGAAGCCCATGTTTTGTCGATCCATTCAATGACTTCCAGGAAAGTTGCATGGCGCATTCTCCCGGTTGCTGTGAATTTGTGCTCTCCATCCATCATCCACTGCTCCCACAGGTTACGCAAGACTGCCTTAAAGCTCCTATTCACGGAGAGAGGCTGGAGTATTTTGGTTAAGCCTCCAGGGATGATGGCAGGTATGGAGTTGAAAACTTTTAATTTATTTTTGAACTGTGGTGTGATGTGCGCTCTCATGCTATCCATCACAAGCAGAGCTTTGCGTGCTCTAAAGAAGCCATCCGGTCGCTTAATGTAGCACTTTGTAAGCCATAAGGTCAGCATTTCTTGATCCCATCCACCCTTTCTCATTCACGGCGACTGCAACTGAGGAGGATTGGATTTTTGGCATGGTTTTTCATTTGAAAATGACCATTGGTGGAAATTTTGATCCATCTCCACAACATGCCAGCACCACTGTGAAGTGTGATTTCTCATGACCAGTTGTAACTATATTCACACTTTTTTGCCCTTTCTCTGCAACACTTAGGCCCATGGGAATGTCAAAGGTGAGAGGGACCTCATCCATGTTAATAATATAATCCGGTGTCACGTTGTGCTCACTTACATGCTTTTCAATGAACTCATGGAAACTGTCGACCTTGGCTTGGAAGTCTGCTGGCAGTTTTTGGGACATTGTTGTCCTTGCTCTGATAGAGAGGCGATTGCGTTGCATGAAGCGGTAACACCAAGAAGGTACTCCCGCAAAGTCATTTATATTCATCTCCTGGGCAACTACCTGGGCGTGGAGACGCGACTGCACTGTTGACAAACCTCTCCCAGCAGCACGTTGTTCAAGCACCCATGCGCGAACTCGTTCCTCTAACTGCGGCCACCACTTTTAGCCCGCGATTAGCTTTTTTTGTTGTCTTCATTTCAGTAAGAGTAACTTCCGCTTTTCTCCAGTCTCTTACAAGTTTCTCGCTAACTCCAAACTTTCTTTCTGCTGCTCTATTACCGTTTTTGGCTGCATATTTCACTATTTGCAGCTTGTAATCTGCAGAATCTGATTTTCTTTTCGGTGCCATTTTTGTAAAGCCCTTCTCGGTTGTTTTTATAAATTACTGGCAATATTGAAATTATCAACACAGGCCTAGAGCGCCCTCTTGCGGTTAAGTGTGAAAATAATGTGAAATGATATTTGTGAAATTATTAACACATTATTATAAGTAGCACCAGAGTATAAATCGCACCCCCTGCCAAACTGAAAAAAACGACTGCGATTTATAGTCCGAAAAATATGGTAGGTGCCCCAGAATTAAACTATGTGGAACACCACACAACAGTCAGGCAATTCATGACTCAGGGCAACCAAAGCTAATACAGAAAGCTCTGTCAGCCGAATACTGCAGCAACTAATCCACTCAAGGGTGCTACCGCTAATGCCTACCAGGTGCTGCAAATGAGCCAACAGAATGCTGCGATCCACCATATCAAACACTGCAATTAAATCCAATAAAACCAGCCAGACATAGTCTCTAGTGTCATTTGCAAGGAGGATATCATTAAAAACTCATCACAGGAGGGCTCACTCTGTGGCCTGCATGATCTTAAAACCTGACCTGCCAGACGATAATAATAATAATAATAATAATTCATTTTATTTGTGGGCGCCTTTCTATGAACTCAAGGACACCTTACAACAAGCAGTTAAAATCACAAATACAATGTTGAAAACAACATCAAATAAGATAAAATAAAATAAAGATAATGGATTTATTGTCCGAGTAAATAAGCTTGTCTAAACAGATGTGTTTTGAGGCTGGATTTGAAATGTATTAATGAGTCTGTATGACGAAGGTCATCGGGGAGTGTGTTCTAGAGCTGGGGAGCAGAGCGACTGAAGGCTCTGTTACCCATGGTGACGAGGCGAGCAGGGGGGACAGTGAGGAGGAGAGAGGAGGAAGAACGAAGAGAGCAGGAATTAAAATTAAAAAGGTGTAGGAATATGGATGAGGTCAGATAGGTATGGAGGGGCAAGGTTATGGATGGCTTTGAATGTAAGGAGCAGGATTTTATATTGAATGCGGTGTATAATGGAGAGCCAGTGGAGATGTTGGAGGACAGGTTTAATATGGTTGATGGATGGTGTGAGCGTGATAATGTGAGCGGCTGAAATTTGGACCAGCTGAAGCTTATGGAGGGGTTTTTGAGGGAGACCGAGCAGGAGGGAATTACAGTAATCGAGTCGCGAGGGTTTGAATAAGTATAGCAGTGGAGTGAGGGGTGAGAGAAGAGCGGAGCCGGTGGATGTTTCTAAGATGATAATATGAAGAACGAGTGATGTGGTTGATATGTGAGGTGAAGGAGAGGGTGCTCTCAAGGATGACACCCAGACTCTTGACCTGAGGGGAGGGGGAGATGGAGGAGCTGTCAAAGGGAATGGAGAAATTGTTTATTTTGTTTAGGGTGGATTTGGTGCCAATGAGAAGGAGTTCAGTTTTATTGCTGTTCAGTTTGAGGTGAACCATGATTTTAATTCCTGCAGACAGTTGGTTAGGGAGGATGGTGGAAGTGTGGTGTTTGGTTTGGTAGAGATGTAGAGCTGGGTGTCATCCGCGTAGCAGTGAATGTGATGTTTCCTGAAGATATTACCCAGAGGGAGAAGATAGATTAGAAACAGCAAGGGGCCAAGGACAGAACTCCGAGGAACACCTGAAGTGAGGGGAAAGGGGTGAGACCTAAAACATTTGAGCTGGATAAACTGGGTCCGGTCAGAAAGATAGGAGCGGAACCAGGAGAGGGGGATGCTGGTGATACCAATGGAGGAGAGTCTGTCAAGGAGGATGGAGTGAGAGATGGTGTCAAAGGCTGCACTAAGATCAAGCAGGAGGAGGATGGCGAGTGAACCGGAGTCAGCAGAGAGAAGAAGGTCATTGGATATTTTGAGGAGGGCAGTTTCAGTACTATGGAGGGGACGGAAGCCAGATTGAAATTGTTCACAGAGGTTATTGGAGGAGAGAAGGGTGTGAAGTTGAGCAGCCACTGTTCTTGCTTGGAGTTTGGAAATGAAGGGGAGGTTTGGTATGGGACGGAAGTTGTTCAGGTCGGAGGGATCAGAGCCAGGCTTCTTAAGTGTGGGAGTGACAGCAGCAGTTTTGAGATGGGAAGGTACATTGCCAGTAAGAGGGAAGTTTGAATAATGTTAGTGATGAGAGGGGAGAGGGCCTGGATAGAAGCTTTGACTAGAACAGTCGGGAGAGGGTCAAGTTGACAAGTGGAGGTTTTGGACTTCTGAATTAAGATGGAGATTTGGTGGACAGATGGGGAGGTGAATGCAGAGAGCAGGTGGGTCGGAACTGGGGAGAATGGAGAAGGAGGGTTGGGTATTCACCCAATAAATATTTTAACCTCATGTGCACCACTTTTGACAGCACATCTTGATCAAGAGTCATAAGGGGAGTCAGAAGAGTTAATTTGGCAAACGACATCCTCCAAAAATGTCAAGGACACAGCTTCTGAAGAATTTGGCATCCCTGAACAAGGACCATGGACAGAGGGGTCAAATGTGGTGTTTGAAACACAAGTCCTAGTTGTAGAAACCTGATCAATGAAAAACTACAGGAATGTGTTGTGTACATTTCAGGTGAAGAGTGTGAGCAAATCGGCTGAGCGTGTTTAGGTACAAAATCAATAGTTTCAAATGGTACGCGTGAGTTCAGAGTTCTGACGGTTAGCCTAAATTAGGTTTGATCAATGTTCTATTTTGGCCTCTTTAACTGTGATCGGGTAGTTAGATCAGCAATCTTTCCAGCAATCTTTCCAGATTTTTTATAAGAGGGCTGCAGCTTGGCCTTTTTCCCACTTACATTCAGCTTTGCAGCACTCCTGCTTAGCTGCGCGAGTTGTGTCGTTAACCCATGGCTCGAGTCTAGGATTTGACTGCACAGTTTTTAATGGAGTCACCGAATCCAATTTAGCATGATGGGACAGGTATAACCTAGAGGTGTGCTCCTCCATGTTTGAAGGGGGAAGGCAAAGCTTATCAAAGGCATCAAAGAACTGACTTGCAGTGAGAGGGTTAAAGAAAACATTCATGTGATCAGAACTCATGGTAGACCAGGCATGTCCAGCTCCGGGCCTGGAGGGCCACTGTCCTTCCTGTTTTCCAGCTCTCCCGGCTGCAACACACCTGCTTCAGATGGTCAGCTCATCAGCAAGCTCTGAAGCAGCAGTAGGACGATCATGATGATTTGAATCAGGTGTGTTGCTCCTGGGAGAGCTGGAAAACAGGCAGGACACTTGAGGACCGACTTTGGACACCCCTGCGGTAGACCATCAGCAAGAACAAAGTTTAAAGTATGTCCTTGTTCATGTGTCGGTATGGTCACTTAATGCACATTGTCTACAAAAACTGTACTGACATCATAGCGGTCATTGCTCAGGCCCTAATAAGAATTCTAACATTCCAGCATGCCCCGCGACCCTTGTAGGGATAAGTGGATCAGAAAATGGATAAATGGATGGATCTTCTTATAGAATAGGGATCTCACAGCGGTCTCTCCTCTGGCACTAATAATTCCTTCAAAACAATTGGGACCTCGCAGCGGTCAATGGTCAGGCCCTAATTATTGAAATAATTTCCACAAAAACAAAAGGGACTTTGCAGCTGTCACTGCTCAAGCCTTAATGGTGAATATCTCTTGCATTTTTCACTGCATGGTTAGTCTCCCAAAAAATACACACCTGACATGTAGACTGTATCCTGTACATTTTTCTTCGAAATCTTGCCACTATGAAGGCTTGCGTGCAGGTTTCCTATCAGCGGGGTGGGGCCCAAAAGACCTGCAGGCTTCTGTAAGAATACAGGAGTACAGCCAATGGCTCCTGTAATACATGTGCACTTGTAAAGGGGGTTTGGCTGGAAGGCTTCTCCGTTCTCATAATGGGCTCCATTAAGATCACATCCAACTCCCATCAAGTCTGGAAAAAAAAAAAAGACAAATTCATGGCTCCAGCACTAATGAACAGTTTTTTTTTATTTTTGTTGTTTTTTTTTTTTTTTTTTAGGCATTACAAATGATTGTGATATGTGTGTATGCTGGAAGGGTGAGAAGGTGATTCACTTGGGAGGCGGAAGTTATAAGTACCCCACACTCCTCCCATATGTGCGCACACACACACACACACACACACACACACACACACACACACTTGCAAATACATGCATGCACTCACACATTTCTAATTATGGTTTCATTTTCAACATTCCCTGCCATGTTTTATGCATATTACGTGAATAATATAGGTCAATGCTGAGCACTAACCCAGCCCGTGTAGACCATTTAATAACAATTCTCACCAACTACTATATTGCGTATCGACTAGTCACCAATAGTTGCAATTGGTCGACTAATCGAATCAAATGTAAATCGCCGCATATCGTACCAGCAAGCAACTGCTTTCATGTAATCATCTTCACCTTTCACCCTGAAGTCTTTAGGTATGTATAAACTAAAAGCTGCAGGTGACCAAACAAACCGTTGAGACTGAGAGGTTAATCTTGTGAGGGGTTCAGCCACGCTGCTGTGGTTACTGATGAATTTCCTGTAGAAGTTAGCAAAGCCGAGGAAGCACTTCAGTTCCTTCCAGGACGTGGGATCTGGCCAGTCCACTCCCGCCTGGATCTTACGAGGATCCGCCCAAGTCTTACCCCCTTCCAGGATGAAACCAAGGTACTCAATAGAATTAGAATGGAACCGGCACTTCTCAGCTTTGACAAAGAGCCAGTTACAAAGGATTCGTTTGAGTACCTGCTGCACGTGTTGCACATGCTCCTCTAGAGACCTGGAGAAGACGAGGATGTCATCAAGGTAGCCCACAGCAAACCGGTCAAGCATGTCATGGAGGATGTCATTCATGAGTGCTGGAATACCACTGCGGCATTTGTGAGTCTGAACGGCATTACCAGGTACTCCATGACCATGAGTTGTCTTAAACACTGTCTTCCACTGGTCCCCCTTACCGGATCCGGACGAGATGGTAGGCGTTCCTGAGATCCAGCTTGGGGAAGACAGTAGCCTGAGTGAGGGGCTCGAGAGTGGAGTTCATAAGAGGTAGGGGGTACTTGTTCTTGATCGTTATGTCGTTGAGTTGGTGATAGTCAATGCAGGGTTGGAGACCACCATCCTTCTTCACGAAAAAGAAGCCAGCTGCCATCTGTGAGGATGAGGGCCAGATGAGCCCTGCTGCCAACGACTCCAAAGTATACTTGTCCATAGCAGCCTTCTCTGGGATATCAAGACTTTACAGACGACTTCTTGGGAGGGCAGCCCGGGAGGGAGGTCGATAGCACAGTCATAAGGCCGGTGTGGGGGGGAAAGACTGAGCCCGGGCCTTGCTGAAAACCTCCCCAAGATCATGGTACTACTGAAGGGGCTGGATCTGAGCCTGAAGGCCCTGTAAGGCTACGGAGGTGTCCTGTAATTGCTGGGTGTGGGTAGCGGTCAGGTGAACCTGCTTGACAAGAGCATCTTGGATCAAATTGAGTCCAGATTTGCCTGTGTCGGCTGGGGTCGTCATGGCAAGTTTGTACTGTTATGGTTTGTATATGACCCCGAATGCACAACACCAAGCAGGTATGGTGGAAGCCAAGACTTGGCGTTGTTTATTAGTCTTTGCAATGTGACTCAGGGAGAATAATCCACAGGGAAATGTCCACACAGGAAATTAAAACCTCACTCAGGGAGAAAACTGGGACTTACTTAATGTTCACAATAGAAGCACAAGGAGTCCACAGGGAAAATGTCCACACAGGAAACGAAAACTGCAGGCGATGCCAACAGAGCTCACTACAGTTGGTGACGGCACTGACGAATGCTTTGAGAGCCAACTTATACCAGTCTAAATGAGCAGATGGGCTACAGGTGGGTGATGAGCTGGCGAGTATCAGGTGTGAGGTGCAGAGCACCCTGTCTGAGGAGGCTGCCTGGCTGGCCCCTCCCTAACAAAGCATGTCTTTTAGTTCATTTGAAACATGCATATCACATGCAACTGAATATTCACCTAACTTTTTTTTCTTAAACAGAAGTCTCCTGAGTGCAAATTACATTTGAAACACAAAATATATCATCGTGGCTGTTCAATATTCACAGAACCTTTGACTCAAATAACAGAAATTGAACAAGCAATAGACATATCCACAAGTGCAAGGATCATTTGAAGTATGACATATCAGTAAATATAAATGTTGATTGAACTTTTAAAAGTTTATTCTGGAGTGAACATTTTTTCTGGAGTGAACTTGTGAATTAATGTGATGGGTGATACTGAGATCTGGACTGCAGCACAAAGGGCAGGTCTGGCTCAAAAGCAGTGGTATTAATGCGCAAGTTGTCAAACAGGTGATAGCCCGTGAGGTGTGTCCTCCCATGGCTTTTATTTATGTTCATTACCGAGAATGTCTTCTCACACAAATTGGTCGACCCAAACAAGCTCAGCATTTTCTTAGCAAACGTTACAATCTCTCGAAACCTGTCCTTATCCAGCTGTCGGTAAAAGTTGACACGAGATAGCTGCTGGTGCCAACTACGGCTCTCAGCGTCACACTGCAACTCAATGAGCTCCAGCTGCAAATAGTCTGGAATTATCTGTGTCCACGGAAAAAGGTGAGGAAAACAAAGAGCGATGTCATTCTTGATAGCTGCAAAATCTCTAAAGCGTTGTCTGAAGTCTCCAACCAGAGATGAAATCGCTGATGCGTACCTTCTTGCACTGACATTGCTCTGTGGGAATGTGATCATGATTTCTTGCAGCGCTGGAAAGTGTGCAGTATTGGGTTGGGTGTGCGACGGGTGTCTTTCAAACAATTTCAGCTTGTTTCCAAAGGCTTTGATATGTGAATATAGTTGTCTTATGACTGCGTCTGGCCCCTGCAGACTGGTGTTGAGGAAATTTAGGTGCTTTGAAATATCAATTAGAAAACCAAAATCAGCCAGCCACATAGGGTCACTTATTTCTTGCATAGATTGTCCCTTTTCAGCCAAAAACTCACAGATTTGTTGCTTAAGAGAGTAGAAGCGTGACAGTGCAAGAACCCCGACTGAGCCATTTGTAGAAGCGTGACAGTGCAGAACCCCGACTGAGCCATTGCACGTCAGTGTAATAGACAACATCTCCATAATCCACATGAATCTCACTTAGAAACTGTTGAAACTGACGCTGGCATAGCGCTCTGGAGCGGATGTCGTTAGTAGTTTTTATCACCAATTTCATAACATGCTCGTATCGGAGATGATTAGCACACAACTTGCAGATGAATGATACAATGGCGTTTTACAGCTTCACCCCTTTCTTCACTTACTTTGTTACTTATCAGTGTTGCTAATCCACTTCATTCAGTGGTCATGGACCCCCATCCGTAATAATGCCAGAAATGTTCTTGAACGGGCGTTTCACATCATCCCCGGGACAAGAGAATAAGTCTGTTCCCCTCATTTGGGTTTTTAGGCTCTGAAGGTCAAGTAGTTCTTCGGTAACGTTCATTTCACTGACCACTCCCTAAAAAAAAAAAAAAAATCAAAAAAAATAAGTAACTGAGCAGCGTCCGAGGTGTCTGTGCTTTGGTCGCAAGCCAGCGAAAAAAAGTCTAACTCCTTTCCTCTGTCTCTTGTTAAGATATTATTCCTCTCTGTTAGTTGGATTTGAAAGAAACAATGTAGAATGCTGTTGAAGGTGTTTCCTGCTTACTGTGATTACAATCACCTTTGGTACCCCCTCACCCCCACCACTTTTAGGACCCCTCCAGAGGACATGTCGACATCAAAAGAGGAACTGTTATCTCTAGTTTCTGTGTTGCATCTATTGAGGGACTGCACCTTACTATGAGTACTATTGATCCCAGTCTCTTTCCTGAACATCTGTTTGCACACTTAAAACAACGTATGTAGTGATAAATTTTATCTTCTTCCTCCTTGGTTGATTAACGGCCCCCCAAGTGTCTTCTGTTGTCCCCCCGCACCTTGAGTAAGCCCCTGATTGCTGTTAAGCCCCCCTGGGAAGACCTCTTATCTCAGGATATATGCACAGCGGGGATTCTGGAACTTGCCATCACACCAAATGGTGGGTAATGGTGGTTTGGTCTCACCTCACCACTCCCAACTTCGTCTAGCCACACCGGGTCAGATGACATGTTACTTTCTTTGTTTCCGGGATTTGCATGAGAGGCGTCCCTCCCCGCCTCTCATTATCATATTGTCTCTATATAATCTCATGAATGTGTTTCTTCTACGCTTCCTGATTGAAATCTGGACCCCTCAGGAGCCCGAATCGATTTGTAAACTGCAGAAAAATAAATTAAAACCCTTCGAAGGAACTGTTCATCGCCTCAAGCCTTTATTTGGATTACCAACATTCTCCTCGTCCGAAATTAAATGAACACGCGGAGAAGAGGAGGCCACTCTTCCCCCAACACTCTCAATTGTCTTTTGATGTCCGATGACACTTCAATCCTGCGTGCCACAGTGTTACGCACCAGGCAGACTTTGGCAAACTCTTGCTGCTTCTCAGGACAGATTTTCTTCACCATATTCATCACACAGTCTTTGATAAATTCTCCTTCGTTGAAAGGTTTGGAATGCTTTGCGATCAGCGCTGCTACCTCGTAACTAGCCACTGTGGCGTTCTCATTTGACTCTCGGGCTCTTGCAAAATACTGCTGCTGTGAGATTAAACGAGCTTCAAGCTGCTTCAATTTCTCAGTCCGTTCCTTCCCTGTAATCTTGTTGTACATGTCAGCGTGTTTTGTTTGATAATGTCGCTTGGCATTATACTTTTTAAAAATAGCCACTGTCTTTTGGCAAATGAGGTAGACACGGTTGTTGCGTATTTCAGTGACGAAATAGTCCAATTTGCATCCATCCTGAAAGCGCCGTCCCTTTTTTTTGTTGATTGTCGCCATTTTATATAATTGGGGGATAAATTGT